GTTTGTTATTCTTTGAAGAAGGTTGTTGTAGCGTGATTATCTAGGATTAATATTAAAGTTCACCAGCACAATTGAAACATGTAGCAATAGGAGATACTCCCACCTTTTTTTATTCACCCGCACCATGGAGAACCAACCGACAATAACATCCAGCAGCTACCACACCCGATCCAATGTCAATTACAAGAATTTCAATCATAAAGATGCGCCTCTCAAATACACATCTACAAAATACGATTTTACAAAAAACAGAGAAGCCTTATTGGGTTTCATTAGAAACAGGGATAGGAAATTCCAGGGTAGAGAAACCAACACGGGGAAGTTTTGGTATGAAATTTGACATTCTAATTTTGATACCAACTTTGCAGAAATTAGCTTGCTCAAAAATGACATTCTCAAAGTTCGGCAAACCCAAATCTATCGACCCAACACAACACAATACAGGAAAAAGATTTGGTATATCAATTTCAACAGCACACGCGCAACTGATGGACGGGACCAGAAGCCGTAGCGTATCAGTATGAAATCGGCTTCCAAAGACCGAAACCAACCAAAAATACGGGAGGAGAAAGTGGAGACGTAATCCCGGAAAAGAAGCAAACAGAGGGATCGGAGTTTTTTCACGAAATAAGAACCGGAGACCACTTTATCACTTTCATACAAACAACCATAAACCAAGTAACGACTTGTGAGCAAAAACCTAGCATAATCCATACATTGGCAAGCTTGTTAAACATTAGCTTGATCAACAAAGTCACCGAAAATTCCCCAATAACTTTAAAATAACGAAAAACCTAGGGATTGAATCTAAAGAAGACGTTTAAGGGGAAATCTCCCTACCACGCAACTCAAAAAGGTTAGCTAGATGCAAAATTCCTTCGTTCGAAAACCACAGAGATGGATTCCCCGATTCGAAGGAATGCAAAATTTCGAAAAAAACATTCGAATCGACGAACCAGAAGTGACATCCTTAAAGGATTTAGATTGCTTATACCAAAAAGGAAACCAGGATCAAGCAATTTTTCGCCATTAAAACGTACCGCAGGCAAGATGGCGGCGCAAGGGCAGAACCTAAAAGGGCAAAACCCTAGCAGGACAGAGAGACGAATAGTCTATATATATATATATATGGTTTCTAGGTGTCTAAATAAGTCGAGCTTAAGTGATTTGGTGTTTGTGGTATTCGAATTTGTTTAATTATATTATTGTGTTGGGTTTTGTTTTAATTTATTTTTGATATTTCGGCTGATTGATTAAAAAAAGTAATATTAAATTTTTTAATGACAAAAAAAATATTTAATAATTATAATATTACTATTTTTTTAATAATATATTAAAATTTAGTATAATAAATTAATTCTTCATTCTTAATGTCCGCTGTAGGGCGGATCCAACCTTAATTTTCAGTGAGGGCAAACTTTTAAGCAAATGTAGAGTTTTTTTTTTTTTTTTGCTTTTCATAAACATCCTTACAATAAAAAATTGTTCCGAGGGTGCTACCTCTCGACCACTATTTTTTCATCATTATTGCTTTGCAGGTATAAGTTGGGGCAGGAGGCAGTACCCCCTGCGGGTTCGACCTAGGGGCAATTGCTAACCTATAACCAATTTTTGGATTCTCTTTACTATTTCTCTGTATATTTGGTTCATCGTTCTCTATTAATAACTCTATATCACAATGTGTTTAATTATGTTGGGGCAATTAACTAAATATCATAGTATTTTAAAACTTGCTAGGAGGGGAAATTGCCTAAAAACCCTTTAATAAATACTAAAAAATACATAGAGGAGGAAAAATTACCTAAAAAATCATATAATAAAGAATTTTTTTATTTTTTCAGTGTGTGTGTGTGGGGGGGGGGGCGGGGGGCTGGGGGGGTTGACCCCTCCTCGCCTTAAGGTGGATCCTCAACCGCCCATGGCCCCACGTATACATATACTCAACCGCTCAAGGAATTAAGGGCATCTTCAACCAAACATCATTTGCTTGTTTCCAGCTTCGACGAGTGTCCAACCGAACGACATATAGAAACATGATTTTACATTTTATCTTGGCCGTGAACAATGTTACGTCAATATTGACTTCGCACTCCATAAATCCATTTTTTGTGATTGAAAATAAATATAAAAACAGATTTTTATTATATTTTGAAATAGAAAATAAATTTTTTACTTTATATATATATACATTTAGGCCAATTAAGACAGACTCATATACAAATTGCATACATAAGACTCAAATTCAAGACCTCTTAGTTGATAGCCTAAACTCCCTACCAACATATCAAAATGAGCTGTGTCCTTATTGTTTGTAGTGGGTGAAACTTAGAATTCTAAGACTAAATAGTTAGCAGTTAGTCCAGTTCAAAATGCAAACGACGTGGCCACGCATGCAAGATTGCAAGTGAATTATCATATTTATATATACAAAAAAGGTCAAGGTCTTATTCCATTATCATGGTGTTATCTCTAAGAGAAAATTGTACATGGTTGCGTGGAAGACAGTTGCATGCCAAAACAATTTGGTGGCATCACCATTCTTGTCATTGCTTCTCTACATCATGCCTTTGGCTACTCTTTGATTTGGAGATTTTTAATACAGACAGCATCTTGTTCCATTGGTGGAAAGCTAAATATATATCTTTTTGGAATTCTATCTCTTCTTGCACTTTTGTTTACTGGAATTAAAGAAAATTCAACATTGTTTAAGTTTTAAAATTTTTTGGCAGCTCTATTCTTTCCATGCTGTGGGACCTTTGGTGCAATGACAATTCATTAATGAATAATATATCCGATTTATCTCTGGAACATGTGAGACTGAATCTTTCTATTTTTCAGGTTAAAAACTTTATTCTAAATGGTTGCTGGAACCTCCCTGCTGTATCACCTTCCATCACCTCTGTTATTTCCTCTGTGCTTATTTTTGAAGAGGGATTGATCTGCTTGTGGCTTATGTTTTGAGGAACTTTATCATGCAATTATATGCTGACTCTCCTAGGATCCATTGCATAATTTTATTTGGCACAAACGTTATGCGCTTCATTTTTCAGTTCATGACTGATTGGCCTTAAAACATTGACTAAAAAATGCGGATGCTTTGATTCATAGGGGTATCCTTGTGGCACCAAAATGTATTTTTTGTTTCTCTGCTTTGGAAAGCCACTCTCATCTATTCTTTGAATATGGCTTCACTTTTTCCACATCCTTAAAAAATTGATTCCATAGATGAGCTGCCTTCTTTTGAGGCCCAACCTCAACCAAGCCTTCTCTCAAATTGAGGATATGGTTGTCAGTAAACAACTGAAAAGTTTTTACTTCCTAATTACTTGTGCGGCTATCTATTTCATTTAGATAGCAAAAAATGATAGATTATTTGGGATTTCTTATGAATGCAATACCACGATTGCTATCAAAATCAAGAGAGCGGTTATCTATAAAACTACAAAATGGAAGAGCTTTCACTTATTTCAGCATTTGCTTCTCTGATTTGCAAATGTTTATGTGCTGGTTTTTGGATGGACGAAGAGGAATGCTGGTGCTACCTATTAGAGCAGCATACTTAAATAAACTTATGTTGCCTGTTATATAGCCATCTGTGTATTCATTAGTTCGGTAATAAGAAAATACTCTGTTTCTCTTTCACTGTTATGCTCTTGCTGTTATTCTCATCTTCTTGCTTTCCTTAATTCAAGAAACTCATATCAAGAGTTTCTACATGGTATCAGTCGCAGATCACTGATCTTGGGCGTCCATGGCTTCTTCCGCTACATCTCATGAGGCGGGATCACAGACGACATCATCATCTTCCACGCCGACTCTCTCTTCTTCCCTCAAATTCGTGCTATCCAATCTCAAGAACGTCGTTCAAAGTCCCCTCTCACCGGACAATTATCATCTCTGGCGTTCTCAGATCTTGAAGATCTGTCGAGCAAATGGGTTCTTATCATTTCTTGACAGCTCTTTACCGATTCCGGAAGAACGCATTGTCTCTGTAGATGGCAGTTCAACGACAATTCGGCGTATGATCAGTGGCTTCTCACCGATCAAAACCTGTCTGCAGCAATCTGTTCCACAATTTCTGCGTCAATTTTACCTTACATTCTGCATCTAGATAACACGGCTGAAATCTGGCAACTACTTGAAACTAGATTTCAAGCTCCAAATCGATCTAGAATGATTCAATTAAAGAACGAGCTCTACAATATCTCTCTCAAGAACTCTACGATGCTGCAGTATCTGACTGAAGTCAAAACGTTGGTAGATAATATTGCGGCGGCTGGATCCAAAATTGATCCTGAAGAAATTGTCTTGCACATCCTTAACGGTTTGCCATTGACATATCAATCGTTTAAAACATCTATCCATACTATGGTAAATCCGTTAAGCCTCAATCAATTTTACTCCCTCTTACTAAGTGAGAAAATTCACCATGCTGCGGACACCGCTCGTTCCGTTTCCTCAACCAATCCAAACCATGCTCTATTCGTCAGCAGAGGACGTGGTCGTCGTCCAAGAACCAGACCACCTGTTAATCCGAATACTCCATCCGATAAAACTTCCTCTGTTCCCATTCAATGCCAGATTTGTCTCAAGAAAGGCCATTCGGCAAATGACTGTTGGCATAGACCCAATCTTCAGTATGTACCAAGAATGGAAAAACAGCAAAACAAGGCCTTACTCTCAAATTCAAATCAATCTCACACAGATTGGTATCTAGATTCCAGAGCTTCGTCGCATCTTACAAGATCGTTAGACAATCTTTCCATTTCATCACCCTACCAAGGGACGGACGGCATCGTCATAGGCGACGGGAGCTCGGTTAGCATCGAAAATTCCGGTCGTGGCTTGCTACCGACTCCCTCTCGTAAGCTCAACTTATCTCATATCCTTCACACACCTGCTCTTAAATACAATCTTTTATCTATTTCTCAGTTAACTAAAGATAATAATATCTCTATTACATTTGATCCGAGTGGGTTTGTGTTTAAGGATATGCAGACGCATCAAGAGCTTCTTCGGGGACCATGTCGTGAAGGCCTCTATCCTCTGCGTGCTCCGATTGCTTCCATCCAGCCGACTATCAACAGTCAACCTACAGCCCTACAAACTTCTGTCAAGAAATCTACTCCGTGGCATCAAAGATTGGGTCATCCCAATCAACGTATTTTAGCTTCTATTGCTTCTTGTAATAAAAAACTACACATAGATACTGTTTTTCATTCTTGTCATTCTTGTAATAAGTCTAAGAATCATAAACTTAGCTATGATCATACTTCTACTAGACAAAATTCTATTCTTGCTTTAATTCATACGGATGTTTGGGGTCCCTCGCCCGTCCTCTCTAACGCCGGTTACTTATATTACGTGATTTTCATAGACGATTACTCTCGATTCACTTGGTTTTATCCCATGCGAAGTAAATCTGAAGTCATGAACATATTTGTAGAGTTCAAACTTCAAATAGAGAATGCTACCTCTCAAAGAATTAAAAGCATTCGTACTGACGGTGGTGGAGAATACTCAAGCATAGCATTCTCAAATTTTCTCAAACAACATGGAATATCTCATCAGGTGTCATGTTCATATACACCTGAACAAAACGGTGTCGCTGAAAGAAAGCACAGACACCTAGTTGAAACTACTCGTGCCATGATGGATACAGCTCATATTCCGTTACAATATTGGCCCGATACTATGATAACTGCTATTTTTCT